GGAGGCGGTGCGCGCAACCCGAAAGGAGTTTGGTGGCCACGTGGCCTGGTGGGAAGGAGACAGGAGGAACAGCGCCCAGAGGCTTGAGGGAGAGAAAGGGACAGAAGGCAGCCTGTGCAGCGGCCCTGAGTGATTTAAGGAATGTCCGAGGGGTCATTTGGCCCAGCACTCTTCTCGGCGACCTCAGGACAACCCCGAGCTGGAGGCCCGGTGACTCCATCTGGCCGCTGGTTGAAAGGCTGGACCATGTGGGCAGGGGCGGGAAGGTCCTGCAGGTCAGGCAAGAGTTGAGATCTTATATCTGAGGGAAGTGGGCCGCGAGGGTTTGGAGCAGGGTGAGGGCCAGGATTGGGTTTCCAGAAACTCTTAGCTGATACTAGCTGACTATTTAGCTGCTGTTAGCTGTGGCCCAGGGCTGGCGAAGTGACAGACCGCCTCTCTAAGGGTGACAGCGGTCCTGGAGAGTCCTGCCAAGTCGTATTTTGTAAAGAGGAAGCAGGCCCATTTGCCCCAGGTTGCTCGTTAATAAGGGACAGAACCGGATCTCCACTGCGCCGGGCCGTTTGGAGCGCCGGGGCACAGGCAAGAGTTCTCTGTCACAGCCCGTCACAGCACACTGGGACCTTGCAGGGGTAGAGGGGCAGGCTTTGCCATTTTGGGGTTAGCTCTCCCCACCTGTGCATTCTGGGCGGAGGAAGGGGATGGAAGGGACAAGTCCCCACTTCCTAGGGACCACCTCTGCTGCTCACCGACCCTTAGTCACACGATGCAGGCCACACCTCCTTGGTAGCCCTGTCTACCTTGCCACAAAGCATGCAGACACGCATGGATGATATGTAAATAAATCCGTCGGCACTGTCAGGGACGTATTTACAGACACTGACATTTTTTTTATGATCTCCAAAGTATTAGATACTTCTTGTCACCATAGAGGCCGGGGATGTGGCCCAGTGATGGAACACTCGCCTAGCAAGTGTGAGGCGGCAGGTTTAATCCCTAGTAACTCAAAAATGAATAAATACCGATTTAAAAAAAGCAAAAACAATTGTGCTTTGCAGGCAGCAGGCTGGGTTTGTGCTACGCGCCCTCGCTGGCTGACCCCTGCCCTAGAAAGGGAGAAAGGAGGCTGGGGCAGAAGCTGCAGCTTCTGCCACAGGAAGTAGGCATGAGAAAAGCCACATGGGCCGGGGATGTAGCTCAGTGGTTCCAGGGCCTGTCTTGCAAGCGCAGGGTCCTGAGTTTGATCCCCAGTACTAAAAAAGAAGAAAGAAAGGGGGGGGCGGTCACATGGGAGCATGGGAGCCTAGTACCCCAGAAATAGAAAGTCCTGAGACTTTAGGGATAGAGAGTAAGGGGCCTGTCCACTACCAGATCATAGACGTCTGTCTTCTCTAAGCAGTGGGTGCTCCAAGCAGATCTGTGCACTGTGAACTCAATTTGGAGGTCAGGTTTTGGAGGAGTAAGGTTTTGCAGAGCTGGGGAATTGAACCTAGGGCCTCCTGCATGCTAGGCAAGTGCCACACATGCCACTCTGCACAGCTCCAGCCTGTACCCGTCCCTAGCCTCAAAGTGCAGGAAGAGAAAACATAACAGCAGGGGCAATGATCTCACTTCCATGTGAGACGGTTTGGATGAAAAATGCCCCCCCAAAGACTCCTGTGTCCAGAGATGGGCTTTCGGGGGGGCGTGATTGGACAAGGAGGACTCTGACTATCGGTGGATTAATCAACTGGTGCAGTTTGATGGCTTTATTGGTAAGCCGTGGGCGCAGAAGTAGAACCATTCCTTCCAGGCTTTTTCCTCCCTCTACTTCCTGGCCACCATGAAGGGAACACATTTCCTTCGCATTCCCATCCACCGTGGTGTTTCTGCCTCACCTCGGGCCATAGCAAGATGCAGCCAGCTGACCATGGACTGAGATCACCGAAACCATGAGCCAAAGTAAACTCTTCCTCCCCGAATTCTTTTTCTCCGCTATTTGGTCACCATGACAAAAAACTGACTAACACCATGGACTTCCTATTGGTAGTTTTCATAAGAAAAATCATTCTTGCATCTAATGTGTGATTTACCTGACCGAAATATTTTCACCCCACTCCCTCAGAGGAGCTGATGTCTAGGCAAGGACTTGGGGACTCTGAAAACTGCCCTTGGGCTCTCCCACAGCAACCACCGGGAGAGCTCTTTGAGGGACAGGTTCCCAGCTTGTGTTTCTGGATGGTGGCGTTGGGAAGGTGATGGATTACGAGGCTTAGAGCTGACTTGCTATTAGGAGGTGGTCCAAAGAGGTGGGGCCTGGAACCGTGGCCTAGAAGGGCTTCTCTCCTTTCCAGGCTCCTCCTGTCTTTCTCTGCTTCCTGATCACCTTGCCATGAGCCGTGCTCCCTCTCCAGGCCTCCCACCATGTCATTCTGCCTCACAGCCAGCCAAACAGGGTCTGTGACCGTGAACCAAAACAAACCTTTCCTCCTTTAAATTGTGAGTGTCAGTTATTGTGTCTCAGTGACAAGAAAGTGAGCAAGACATGCATGCACATGCACACGCGCACACATCTTCCTGATCACCTTGCCATGAGCCGTGCTCCCTCTCCAGGCCTCCCACCATGTCATTCTGCCTCACAGCCAGCCAAACAGGGTCTGTGACCGTGAACCAAAACAAACCTTTCCTCCTTTAAATTGTGAGTGTCAGTTATTGTGTCTCAGTGACAAGAAAGTGAGCAAGACATGCATGCACATGCACACACGCGCACACACACACACACACACACACACACCAGACCCAAAGGATCTGAAACCTCAGGGACATTGCCTTGATATTGGCTATAACCAGCCCTCCAGATGATTCCAGTGCAGATGAAGCTTGGGAGCTATTGGGCTTGGGCCCTGGGCTGCCAGCAGGAAAAGCTCTGTCCTAGACCTGGACCTGGGCCTCCCTGGCTTTGTGACCTTGAGCAAGTCAGCCATGCCTGCCCCTCCTGCCAAGTCCTTAGGTAAAGATGGTGGGGTTGGTCCTGGGAGCTTGAGGGGGGACCAGAGCCCTCAAGGTCTCTCCAGGTCCGGTTCTGTCCTGGCCCACCACGGGAAACCCACTGCCAGCTCGTCCTGGCGGGCCCTCATGGCTCTACCATGCAGGATGTCTGAGACCAGCCCTGACCCCGAGGGACCTCCAGGTGCACGGCAGAGAATGCGACCATGAGCCTCCTCTTTCAAGCCCAAGACCATTCAAGGTCCCCGAGAACCAAGGACTTGGGCCCCAAAGAAAAGGCCCGGCTAGCAAAGGTACCATCTAAGGGGGTCCTGCAGCATCACTCCGCCTTGTGTGGACCCGCTCCCGTGGGTCCTGTTGGAGCAGGAACGTGGGGGAGCAGCTGGTGTGCAGTAAAGGCCCCCAAGCCCTGAATTCATGACCTTGGCCTCTGACACAGCTTTGCAGCTAGCACTCTGTGACTTGCAGCAACTCAGTCTCTCCTGCCTCAGTTTCCTCATCCGGCCCACAGAGTCATGACATCTGCCTGGCTCTGAAGCCTTAGGCGAGGTAGGTACCTCGTCAAGTGGCAGGCAGGATGTCCCCAGTCTTCTAAGGGGCCACGATTTGGGCTCCCGTCCAACTGCTTTCCTGTGTCCGTGGCCACCCTGGCTGGTCACCCCAGGGTACTGGGGAGAGGGTGATGGGAGGGAGGGGAAGACCCCAAGCCACCTAACAGATCCTCCAAAGCTTAGCAGCTTAAAACAGCAAACAGTACCATGTCGTGTCAGCGTCTCTGTGGGTCCGAAACCCAGGCCTGACCCATGGGGGTCCTCTGCCTCATGTGTCCCTCGGGCTGCTACCAGCTGTGGCCAGGTCTGCAGTCAGGGACAGGTCGTCCACTGCATTGCTCGGGCATGGCTGGCCTCACTGACCATTGTCCAGAGAGTTCCCTCGGGTCCTTGCCACACGTGATTCAGTGGTGGGGATCCCAAGGGCCCCTGGTGCCTGCCCGCCCGTCTTTATCTCCACAGCGGCCTGTCTCACAGTGGGGACTCTGCCTGTCTGATGGCGGGGGCCCTGCAGCCGCCAGGCGCTGCATTCCAGGCTGGGCACTTAACATTCCAGAGGCTTGGGCTAATTAGTGCCTGGCCCGGCCCAGGCCTGGACCACACAGCTTCAGTCTCTTCAGCTTAGCCAGGGGACGCCCCTCGGCTTTGGCCCACGGAGCAGACGTAACCGGGGTCACACAGCCATGCATCAGGGGCAAGTTGAGGCTGAAGGCCGGGTCCTTTCACCCAGGGCTTGTGGGCAGACGGATGTGACCAGAACCGGCACTGGGCCTCCAGGAACATGAGCTGGGTTAGAGTAGATCTCGGGCAAGGATTGTTCTCTGAGCCCATGCTTCCTCACCTGTAAAAGGGAACTGTTCTGAGCCTGCAAGAAAGCCTCTTTCCCTGACCTAATTTAGTTAGGTTCTTTGGATTCCCCTTTTTGACTAGGCCAAATCCTAAGGCCTGGTCTCCAGTCAGCTTGGGCATTTTCAGCAAGATTCACCTTTC